ACTCACCCCTATGCACTACAAAGAGCTAGAATCCCACATAGAAGATGGTGGAGGTGCCAGTGCAGAGAAATTACAAAGTTGAATTCCTTTCCAAAAACAGTATCAGAAAGGGAAACACCATGGAGTGTGACATCCATGAGGTAGGGTTTAGCCTAGTGGGGAAGTACCCAGTGGGATACTACATCCATCTCAAGCAGGAAATACTTTTTGCCCAACAGAGATGGTAGAGTCATAAGTATTGCCATAGGAACCTTTTGCTGGGTGTTAACATTTCACTAATGTGGACAGAGTGGCAGATTGCTTAACAATCTATTATCTCACATGTAGACAGCTAAGCATGAGTGTGTACTGCACCTACAGCTATAAGTCAGGCCATTCCAAATTAGAGAAATACTTATATGAGATATTCACCACAAGAAATCAGGTGCAGGGAGTAATGTCCCAAACCAGTATCTCGAGGTGAACCTAACCACTGGGAATGTCTTGGTTTACAATATAGTGGGATGCCCTGTACAACAATAGCAAGTAACACTCCAGCCCTACTACTCAAACAAAGGGTGCATGCACTCAGTCTCGTACCAGAGTACTGCACTATCTGATGAGGAAATCTCCATATTGACTACCCTAGTGGTTTGAAACTGGGGAAGCAAAGATTTTGGAGGGAAAAACTTACATGGGGGACAAACATTGCAGACAATTGTCACTGAGCACAAACATTTGGAATTAGGTCCTACACTGAGAGACAATGCAATGAGTTACCACGACTAAGACAGCATACAAGAGCCAAGTATGAGGACAGGAATCCATACCTGGTACTATAATTTTTTTTTTTAAAGTGCAGAATGCCCTAGAAGATACAAGGATAAGCACCACTGAAGCAGTCTTATGGAAAATCCCGCATCAACAGCAAGCAGTAAGCAGGGACAGAAAGGTTTAACACTTTCCATGCTCCCTCATTCAATGCAGATTTTGGGTAAGTATTCACTGTGAGGTAACACTTTCCACTTAGTAGGTTCCATCATTTCCATATGTATATATAGTTAAAATAAGGTGATGGTGAGAACTGAATACAAAAAAAAAAAGAGTCACTGTGAACAGTGGAGAATGGTGACTGGAAGGAGATCAAAAACCATGGTGTAAGTAATGGGACACTAATGAGTTGGGGGAAATTGACTGCTAGATGCAAGAGAAGTCATGAGATGACAAATATGATGGGAAGAGACATAACAAAATAATAAGAGTCATCATCCATAAAAGAAGAAACAAGGTGTAAGGGATATGTAACCCAACCAAGCAAAGTGGAAGGAGATAAGTGACTAGAGAAAGTGGACTCCCAAAACAAGTGCCCTAAAAGAGGGCCATAAAAGTGAGATAATAATGAATAGACCATACAGAACAAAGGAGATGAGCTGGGTCAGAATAACAGTACAAGGAAAAAAAGAGGGGGAAGGGAGAATTAATTGAGAAAACATGAAAACCATCTTCCAAGCTACACAAATGTTGGATCAGTCAAGAAAGAAGATGAACCTATTCCTGTGGTAAATAGGGCAAGAGGAGACTGAGTCAAAAGTGAGTGATGGCTATCAAATGGGAAAAGGTGAAGAAATATATACAAAACATCAAAAACAGAGCATCCTCAGTCACAACTATAGAGGCTGGGATTGGTAGCAAATGAATGGAAGCAAAAAGTGGAGAGGAGGTGGAAAGGCAGTAATTATAGGATGTCTGTAGTAGGAATAAATCCACTGAAAACACCAGAGGATGAAGAAACCACTCAGTGGGAAAGGTCCAAGTCAAAGTGAGATAATCCATCAGCCACTAGGGCCTCAACATTTGATACTTGATAGATTAATAACTGATCATGGTGTTTGTGGGCCCAAAGAGAAAGTCCAGAGACAGGAAAACTGAGGTTTCAGGATCAAGTGTCACGGGAAGGTAGAAACAAATGAGGATTTCCTAAAGCAATCATTATATAAAAAAACAAACAACAGAAGATAATGTCAAGCCTGTGGAGTAGCTACCAGCATGAGGACATAGAGACAGAGAAACCTCATGAATGGAGAAGAGATGCAAGAAATGAAACAGGTGTCCAAAACTGAGGCAGTGGAGAGGTGTGGTCATAAGATAAGTTGTTGTCAAGTGCAAAGCCAACACTAGGTGCCACCTATGTGATGTCACCACAAATAAGGAAACCCACATATATAAATGGAAGGAGGCTATACACTGACTTCCAAGTCTTGAAGGGCTCCAAACAGATGCAAGTCTGGGTAAGGTAGGAAAAGAGGAACATCCACGGTTGTGTGGGCCAGAATAAGCCACCATGACTGCAAGAGGTGAAAATAATATTTTTTCTTATGGTACCTGCAATAAAAGGCCAGAAATCACTGAAATGGACACTTATGGGTCCATACACAAAAAAAAAAACTCATGCAGAAAATGAAGACATGAGAGGCCTGGTATCAACATTTCTATGTCCTGCCTCACATACAAAGTGACAGAGAACTCCAAAGTGAATGAAATAGAAGGTTGGGAGTTGAGATTAAAATAGAGCAATGTACCAACCATTCCAAACAAGACACTCTTGAAGGAGAAGAGAGATCACAATAGAGGAAGGAGCAAGTAGAAGACAAACATCCAAAGGGTAAAGGAGAAATAGGCCTCAAGAATGTAAATTAGAAGTAATAAACCAACTAAACCCAATTGAGAAGATGGGGCCATAGACAACTTGAAAAAGACAGAGAACCGAATCTTTGATCACTGTTGATGAACTGAAGGAAGCAAAGGGCAGGCAGGCAGACAAATCATGATGTGGAGAAAGTGACTGAGACCCTGAATTGAGTCATTTACTACTGGGGAGAGTATTCACCAGGAAATGAAAAAACTACTCACTGGAAACTGATGAAAGGCCAATGATGGGTCAAATGGGACAGACTGGTATTTGGCTGACACCTTTCCATGTTTGTGGGAATGATAAAAAGATAGCAGTAAAATTGTCTTATGGTGTTTGAAACAGGTAAGGTAGAGAGTGGAAGTACAGGAAAACCCCTGAGAAAGCATCTGAAAACTCAATAGTTTGTAGTAAAGGGAGTCCATCAGTAAACAAAGTGGGAGTGCATACTTCCCACAGGACCAGAGCTAAGGTTGGTTGGTTGGTTGGTTGGTT